TATGACATTACAAAAAAAACTATTTTATTGATAATAGTAACGATCACCGCCATATTGTGCGTGGGAGGTCTGGTAGTGGCGCGAAGAGCTGCTTTGTGGCTGGTCTCGATACTCAGCCGGTTGCATTGATTGGATCGGCGTATGTATACGTGGTTGTTGACTATGTACAGAGAACGGATGAGGTATACGATCCTGGGTGGGATATGTATCCTGTGGCTCGTGTGGAGGCTTACAAGGTGGTTGTGTGTATTTGTACTGATGTAATGGTAGATGAGGCGTCGGCGCTTGTTGACGCTGTAGTTCAGGCTGATAAAAAGGCAGCGCTTCCTGGCGTCGAGGCGCAGGTTGTTGAATAGGCGGAGCTTCTTGGCGAGGAGTCTCAGTTCTAATACGTTTAGGTGCAGGCTCGTCTTGCTCGCCTGCTACCTCTTCGTCTTCTGGAGTATCGCTACTTGGTACCGCTGTTGTTGTTGCCGTATTGATGATATTAGCGACGTCGGCTTCTTAGTCTGCAACGGTTTCGACAACAACTCGTTTTCCAGTGGCAGGTGGATGCTGTCACTAGCAACTATGGCAGTTGCTAACCCACCCTCCATCCCTGCAACCCCCGTCACAGCACTATCTGCCCTTGCACCTTCGTTAGCAGCTGTATTGCCAATTTCCTCATCTTCATCCTCGTCAACAATTTCTATAGTTGCGAGACTTTGATCCGTAGCTTGAGATATAGGTGATAAACATTTGGCTACGAAGGTGATCGCTTTGTTGTGTCCATGACTGTCCCACGACGGATAGTTGTACACTGTGACTTATTATTCTTGATGCTCACAAAGTCTTCAGGCATAGATCAATCGACGAATCCCACTAAGCTCATAGGCGCGCAGCGGACATGGTGTTTTAAAGGTAACCGCCTCCAATGTACAGAATCTACGACAAATAAGTCGCCCATATTCAGGGCGATTAGGGAGAGCGAAAATGGCAAGGAAAAAAAAGTTCAAAAATATAAATGAGGGGTCATTGTATTCTCTAGTGGAATTATTCTTTGATGTCGGGTTATTCTTTGTTACAATCAACTCCCAGCTTTTGATGTATGCTTGCACACTACGCCACGCTTGTGTTAAAGCGAGTGATTGGGTGAATTCGAGACGCGCGGCTGGGTTCGACAGATCAACATCGACGTTCAAGTTGGGACATTCTGGTTGCTGTGGTTTGGTGGGTGCATAGAACTTAGTAATCTCTGCATACGACTTGTCACTGATCTTTAAATGTTTTGGGTCCACATATGTACCATCACCCCTCAAAGTCCAAGGTTCGTCATCAGCACAATGTATATTGGACCGAACTTCTGTCATGACGCAAGCTTTGGTCTGAAGTGGACCAACATATCCACTATCTTCGAACATTTGATTATGAGCCTTGGTGCGTTCACCCATCCAAGACTTCTCTTTGGAAAAAATGCACTTGTATAACTTTTAATGTCTTTCTTGCACTGTCATATTGCCCATAACAAATATTAACTTCACAAAGGGTGCGATAGTTGGACATCTATGTACACCTACCATATCCCACCATTTACTGGGCCCAATACCTACTACTACTATATGAGTCCTTACGATCCTCAAAGTAATCCTGTTGCAGATAATGCGCTACTCCTCAATCAATTCCTGTCTATCCTCCGGTAAATCCTCGTCGCGATCCAATCCGAGCTTCTCTCTCTCATCATATTCACGCCTGGATAACCATAAACCTTCCAGCACCATTGTCGCAACAGATTCAGTCCAACCACGTTTAGACCAATGACTCCGAATATGATTAGAAGGATACAATATAGCAGCAGCCTGAAGAAATGGCACGGCCTTCATGAAGTCCCAGTGGTTACGCTCATTATCATTGAGACCAATCGATACCTCACCTGCCAAATGGCTTAGGAATGGATCATCTCTAGCATCAATCATCTTGCAGTGTTGAGCGTCACACTGCTGCATTCAGAACAGTTATTTAGAGGCTGAACAAGCCTCTGAATCTGCATTCTTCAATAGCTGAAATAGGGGCCACAATACTCTACAGATGGTAAGGCCAGTATCGAAGAATTCATCGCTAATAATCCACTCTTCTGCTTTTTTGTTGCGCTTGTCCTTCTTTGTTTTTACTCCATCGACAACATGGGTCGCAGTTCCGGACATAGTATCATTATACTCTACTGAACATACAATCTTTCGTAGACATAACTTTAACATAACTATTGTAAAACCTCTAGTGACGCGATATGCGAATCGACTGGTCCAAGCTTCTGCCATCGTTCATCCTAGCAGTCAATTTAGCTAGGTAGGTTGTCATAAAGTGGCTGCTATTGAAATACTTGCATATTATATCCACTTTGTTCAACCACTCTTTGATCTCTTCGATAATACTACAAAGATCCTTGAACATGATATTGACCACATGTGCAAGATCGGGACAGTAGTTGATGTATGGGCGTCGTTGTTTCATTGTAACCGCGGGTTCTAAGCATTCACTGGCCGTGCCTGTAGAGTAGACAACAATCTCGATACTATTAAGATGTGGCAAGGAATCTAATACCATACGGAGTAGATCACATTGGACTTGCGTACCTATACTTTCACCTGCTGCTTTTACCGCGGATAGATTGTAAACGCCAGCAGAAATAGCCTTTTTCAGGCCAGGCGACATCACTGCCACCCCCAAAACGGGTTTCTTGTGTATGCTGGCCCCGTCAAATGCCAGTGTGCCACTGCTATGTTTAATGCCTCGAATGCAGTACATCTAATCTTAGGAGCGGTTTTCACTAGATGCTCACCTAGTATGGGATTGGGATTGGGTGGCTGGTAGTTTTATAAGCTTCTGCTACTGCCTTCAAGGCATTCTTGAACGACTCAGATCAAAGCGAGTTGGCGTCGATGATATCAGCATATACTAAAAGGGCCACAGCATTGCCTGCCTTGTCCTTGGCCTACGTATTGAGGGATCCTTTACAACCGCCATCCAGAGTCTTCTGCTTTAATCTGAGTGCGACGACTTTCCTATGTTTGGCACGTTTATTCTGTTCGCTGTAATTCAGCTTGACCTCCCCGGGAGCTACACACGTTTTGGAAACGAGATGAACCTTTATAAACTTCGATGGATATTTCTATGTTTTAAACTATGTGATATAAACTAAAATACAATTTAAGTCAGTTAGGATTTAGCAGTGGTAGCTTGTGTAGGAATGCTCGGGACTGCCTCTTGGTAAGAGCCTTAGTATCCTCGATCACACATGACATTCCTCTAGCTGTTCTTTATTGTAAAATTTTCACTAGAAGTGCTAAGTGTTCATGACCACATGTCTAATTTGCAGATAGACATAAGATCGTAAGTCAAGTCAATACATTAGCTATTATAGATAAAGTTCCATCTGAAGAAAAGTTAAAAAAAGAAAAAGACTTATAGGATGTTGGAGATTGGCGGGAAGACCAAAACCTGTAAGTAGTGGTTCAGAGATTATACAATTTAGTTTATAATATCCTACATCTGCTATCGTCTCAAATAGGTCCAAGTAAATGAGTCATACCAAATACTCTGGCTATTGGAGCCATCAAAGTGAATTTAGAACACTTTGGAGATATTGGAAAAAGAACTTGTATTAAAATATTTTAAATACGAATAAAAACCAATGTGTTATCTCATTTGATCTTGATATTTTAGACTGACCTGAGGCCGTAGTTCTACATAAACCTTGAGCTGTTTCACAAATGGAGAAGTTGAATACAGATTTGCAGTGAATGCATTCCAACTGCTCCTTCAACATGCCAGTCACTGTCACTTTGGTGGAGACGTAATTCGTCTCCTTAATGGGATCAGCCTGTTTACCCATGGTTGTATTTGTCTAATTATACCTTCTGCACTCACAGTATATAGCACGTATGTAGGAAAACAACACACATACAAAAACACATTACATATACACGATGAACACACACCAAACACACCCAAATCAACCCAGAATCTTCACTGGTCAGCGGTGTCAAAAGTTAGTGACTGAACAGTGAACAGTGAAAGGTGATGACAATCTCAACGGCTCATCAGGCGGGCGGAATTGGCGGCAGGTATATAGGACAAAATGTCAGCGCAAGACTGAGTTCTAACCCGGAGAATGACCCCGCCATATGGATTTGGGACCACGTATATAGTTAAACGTTGAACGCATAACGTTTACTTTTATTTATTTATGCGTTTAACGAGTAACGCAATGAGGTCTGGTTGGCGGTGCCAATATTTATATTACCCCTACGATTACAGGCTTTCCGTCCCCGCGGCGTACCAGCCGTGTTTTATTCGATATTTGTACCAAAATCGAAGATTCGACCTGAAATAAAGCTATCATAAAGCTATATATTTATGTTATGTCTACGTGATATATTTTGTGTGTCTATTCATAGCCTCCTAAAAAGAACACTATTGATAAAGAACCTTTTTATATATATAAAAAGTAGGAAATATTTGTCTTTGAGAGGGCTATTTATTTATGTCCAATTGCTGCACTATGTAAGACTGTTCATAGCCTCCTAGTAAATATGTAGAACAAATTGTTATTATTTTTAAAAATACAGCACGCTCCAGTGAGAAAACTTTGGGTATACAGACGAATCTACAAACAGAACAGCAACTTAAACGCGACTATGACAGCACCTGTCAAGAAACTCAACGCGCTTGTCATAGGCGGTACTTCAGGTATCGGACAAGGTATGCCCCATGTCAATCGAGACTACGAAGTAATCTCGAAGCGTCACGCCGCGAAAGAAAGTATTAAGTTATCACACCGATATATATATATATATAGACACACACACACACACACACACAC